CCGGTGGGAGCGGACATCAGGGCTGGGCCGACGCACGTCTGTTTCGTCAGCCCAGCCCGGACGAGGCCCGAAGCACGCTGTCGGCCCGCGGGAGCGAGCCAGAGATACCGGCTGGGAGCGATTACCGTCGGTGAGTACCCGACCCCGTGACACAGTCAGGAGACGGCGACAGAATTGGCGAGCCGCCCATTCTATACATGCTGACAGCCAACCGTAGAACATGAATGCAAATGTCAGTATGTAATGTTCATCACTCCTTACTCCACCAGCCGTGCTCCACTCCGCTTTCGAAAATTCCTGTCACTCAGTGCATGAGGCAATCATTCCAAAAAATACCTTACCCCCTCCATCGAACTCAACGACCCAGCCTATCAGTCAACACCCGAGCAGTAGCCTGCCACGCGGCGCCACCCCGCCCCCCGCCCCCGCCCCAGGCCCAGGCCCAGGCCCAAACCCAGTCCCAGCCCCAGCCCCGACTCCGGCCCCAGGCCCCAGCAATCGGCCGCAGTCCGGGCCCCTCCCCGGAGGCGAGCACGTGCCGGCAGCCACGTCTGACGTCAGCCGAGTGGGAACTGATTCAGCGGCCGGCGGCGGTGCCAGCGTTGCCGGCGGTGCCAGCGGCCGCACCTCCGCCGCCGCCGGCCGTCCGCCGGCCACACGGCCAGCGCCGCCAGATAGGGCGCCGCCGGCAGCACCGAGCTGCACGCCACGGAACCGCGCGGCGGGCAGCGCGACGGACAGGCGGAACGCGCGGGCGGCTCATACGCGGCGGTCACGAGGCTCAATGCAAGAGGACACGGCGAACAACACCCCCTGCGCCTGTCTGCCAAGGCGGACATCGCAGAAGCCATGGCCTGTCTGCCACAGACGACGGCGGGCGGGAGACGGCATACCCGCGTCGAGTCACACAGGACACAGGAAGAGCCGAACCGAGTTATTCACCTCGCAAAGTGGCGATTACCCGTGCAAGCCTGCACCACCTGGCCCAGCCCCGGCGCCGTGCTGCCGCTACACGTGAATCACGTGCGTGGCCTCGGTAGGTGCCGGCGACCCCATCCCCCCCCCCCCCCCGAGCACACGCACATCACTTCTGCGCTACACACTGGACGTTTCGGCGCTCTTCAGCCGCCGGTGGTACCGCGCCCGCCCAAGACCCCCACCGTCAGGCCGCCGGTGCCACTTACCCGCAGGAAGAAGTAGCTGTCGACGTCGAGCTCCGAGTCGGAGAGGTCGCTGCCCTCCTCCGAGGCGGCGTCGCTCTCCTCGCTGCTGCTCGTCGACGGCTGAAAGAGCAGCGGCCGTCAGCGGGGCAGGGCGCTCGACGGCGGCGCGGCCGCTCCGTACCGTCTGTCTCTGTCTCTGTCTCTGTCTCCGACGGCGGGCCGCCGGAGAGCTGACGCAAGATCCCGAACGGTCGCCCACGGTCCGGGGGAAAGGCCGCAAATACCAGCCGTCCGAACAGCGCTCATGCGGGCGACCGAACCCGACGGAAACGCTTTCAACTGGTGAAACGTGCCGCACACAACTAAAAATAGGTACAAACTTTCTGAAATGTCGGAGCACCGCTTTGAATGTCAGTGTGTTTGTGAGTATAGACTGATAAACGCGTGCCAACGTAACTGCATTGGCCACTTTTAATGTCAACCACCCGCGACCGTCCGCCGGCGGTGGGCCGGTAGGACAAAGTCATCACCCAGACCACGCTGAGTGTACTATTGGCATTCTGTGATGGGGCATGCGCCCGAACCGGTCAGCAGCGCGGGGGCCGAGCGAGGGCGACTCGCGTTGCCAGGCCCTCGCCACAGCCGCTGTCTACTCCGTGACGTGCCTGTCCCTCCCCCGCTCCCGTAAACCGGTCGGGCGCCGTCGCCAAAGAGGCGCCCGTCCAGGGTCACTGCCTGTCAACAAAGCAGGTGACGACTGCATAGCAACAATGTCGGCCGGCATGGTCGACACAGCGGGACCTCCCCACGCCTCCCTAAGCCTTGATCGCAGCCCTAGCCACGGGGTGGACGGGGGGGGGGGGGGATCCTTAGCATATAAGTGACGAATCATCGCGACCGTCATTTACATATGTCGTGCACTAATTCTAGAGAAGACCCGACAAGCCGTATTAGGCGGGCCGCCCTCCGGCACAAACAACGGCGACTAACTCAGACCCCGGGCGACCCCGGACCGGCGCCGGCCGGCCGTCGGCTGGCGTCGCCGCTCACCTGCAGTTTGCGCTGCTTCAGTCGTAGCCGGGAGAGCAGCTCGCGGTGCGCCAGGCGCTGCTCGTTCACGTGATCGGTGAGCGTGAACCGCTCCACGTGACTGTGAGCATCGGCCATGCCCAGCGTCGAGCCGCCCTGCGACGGGATGCACGTGAAGCCCTGCGCCCGCGGGAAGTAGAACACCGTCACGCCGGCGAACTGGATGCCGCGCCGCGGCCGCTTGGCCACGCTGCCCGCTGCGGAGAGACGCGGGCGGTCAGCGGCCGAGCCGGGCGACACGGAGGCGCGCCCTCATCTGGGGCCAAGGCGGAGACGGACGGCGAGCGAGAACGGACAACGGCGGCGGGAAGGCCGGGCTCGGCGGAGACGCACAGGGGCCGACGAGCGGTGACGGGCTGGGACGGAAGGGTGGCACGGAGACGCGCCGAGACACCCGGACACGGGCAGAGTGAGTGCTGTGTAGAGCAGAGACACGGAAACGACGAAGGACGACAAACGCGCACGCACATACACACACATGGCGACGTCACCAAAAACAGGCAGACAATGTTGGTCAACCCATACGGGACTGGCTAGGCAGCGGTCAGACTGGCATGGAGGTGGCGGACATGCAGCACACACTTTGAAATAGGTACCGATACAGGGAATATAGGAAGAAAAACGGGTAGGTCGAGCAGCCCACTCGACAGACCACACGTGACAACTCCACTGAGCCTCGACACGCCTCAGCAAGAGGCCACGGGCGACATGTATTGGTGTTGGCTGCCTCTTCCCACGTCATCAGTTTTGAGATTGTAGGGATGCAACTAATTCATCTCATGCTTGTGGACAAGGTAGGTTGAGGCTTTAAAAAGCCATTTAATGTATATGGATAAAAAGTGCAGCCGACGCGACTCAGGACAAACATCAGTGAACAAAGGTGCTGGTCAGAACAATATTAGCGTGAGATACCAGCAATGCAGTAAGCCGAAGTGAAATACGAGAACGCAGCTGAAAAACAGCCGGGACTTCATCATTCGCGAGAAACGTGGAGCTAGATAACACGGAAGCGAACGTGGAGCACGAAGGAAATCGGCGACTTTTGTCGCGAAGATAGCAGATAACCTACGCGCACCACCCGCCACATCACCCGCCTGTATCGCCGTTCCGCGATAGTGTTCCGTGATGAGTCACTCAACGCGGGCCTTGACTCCGGCAGTCACGATAAGCACTGTCACTACGCAGTGACATGGCCTGCTTTCCATTACACGACATTGACATCTGAGAAAGCATCCTCGAAATTGTTTTGCGTGCACTTATTCGTGAACAGTTGCAGTGAAAACCTGGTTGGCCTGAAGCTTTTCCTGCAAATACAATGCTGCAAACCGGTCCCCTCTCAAGAGCGTGGCTACCCGACCACGACAATTTTACATGCATCTTCTACCATATCCAACGCCTCCGTGCAGCGGCTTCTCGGCATCCGTGACAAGGTCTGCTCCCCACCACCACCAGAGGGCACCTACCGGCGGCGTCTGCACTCTTCCGCTTCAGATTGCTGCGGACGGGCAGGGCGCTTAGATTGGGCTGGCTGCGCCGCACGCCGTCCCCAGCCGTGGCCGCAGCTGTAGCTGTAGCTGTAGCTGTAGCTGTAGCTGTAGCTGTAGCTGTAGCTGGAGCCGGAGCCGGAGCCAGAGACGGAGCCGTATCCGTAGCTGCCGAGCCGGGGCCGAAGCCGGGGCCGGAGCCGGAGCCGGAGCCGGAGCCGGAGCCGGAGCCGGAGCCGGAGCCGGAGCCGGAGCCGGAGCCGAAGCTGGGGCTTGAGCCGGATCCGGCGGTGACGGCGGCCGCGGGGACCTGAAGCGGCTCCGGGACGGCCGGCGCGCAGTCGGCCGGGTCGAGACGCGTCACCGCCGGCTCTGACAACGGCTGCTGCTGCTGCGGCGGCGGCAGCTCCAGGACCGCCGGAGGAGAGGTGATCGACCCCGCGGAGGCGGCCACCGCCAGCTGGCTCTCCGGGATCGCGCCGGCCGTGGCGAGCCGTGCTTCCGCTCCGGCCGACTCCACGGACGACTGCCACTGGACAGCGGCCTCCACCAGCACGTGCTTGTCTGCTGCCGCCTCCTGGGAGACGGAATGCTGCTCACAGGGGACCGCTTCCAGCTGTCCTCCTGCAGGACAGGCTTCTTGGGACGCCCGCTCATCCGACAGTGTACCCTGCAAGTTCTGTTCCTCTGGGCCAATCTCAACAGCAGCCGGTCGTTCCGCCTTACGCGCCTCCTCCACAGAGGTCACCGTGCCGGCCGCAGAGGCGGCGGCTGCAGCCGGCTGCTCCACAGGCCGCATCTCTGGCGTCTCCTCAGCGACCCGCGTCACTGCTCACAACGACGTCCGCGCCTCCTGCTGGAGCTGCGCCAGCTGAGACCGCCTCCTCCTCGACTTTTGCCGACGCCATCGGCTGGCAGTCCTCGGAGGAGACTGACAACGCCCCCTCCTGCCCGGCCTCCGAGGGGGCCGACTCGACCTCCTCCTGCGGGGTGGGCTTCGCCTGCTCCTCCACGGGAGCTGACTTCACCTGCTCAACCGAGACCGGCTCCGTCCGCGGGTCCTCTCCCGGCGGCGCTGCGGCGACCTCGGCGCTGGGGGCGCCCGTCGCCGGCGCCTCCTGCCTGCTCTCGGCCGTCTCGGCGGCCGGCCGGGCCGCCTCCACCGGCGCGGCGACCGCGTCGATGTCGTCGAGCAAGTCGCGGGGCCGCCAGGGCGCGCCGGACGGCAGCGGTCCGTCCACGGCGTCCAGCAGGTCGCGCGGCGGGCGGCTGGGCCGGGCGACTCAGCTCATCCCCGGCCATAGCGAGCGTCTGCAACAGCGGAGCAAGCCCGTTAGCCGGCGGTCCCCTTCTGCGAGCCCCGTCCCACGCGATGGTGGTCCACAACAGCCTGACGTGGAGGGTCCCGTCGGGAGCGGCCCGCCCAACTAAGGGCACCATCCGGAGTTCTGTACGACAGACGCTCACAGAAGGGTAACACTCGTCGGCTGACAAACAGGCGGAGACATTTGTCACAGGAAATCCCTGTGGTATTCCCAGTGCGGGCGACTGCGTCTACACACGCGTGATATCGCTCCGGACAGGCCCGGGAGGCCATGCCGGCTACAGCAGCCGTCCTCGGCCGACAGGGTGGACCAGCGGCGGCGAACCACGGCACAGTACACTCACCGCGACGCCGCAGGACGCGACACCCGCACTGACGAAGGCAACGGACGCCGCAGGCATTCTGTGCTGAAACGCAAGTCCCACTTGTCCTCTCACGACGCAACCAGAGCGCCAGCCCCGCAAACCCGGAAAACTAAGGTGCCTTCTGAAAATACATACGCTCTACTACGCCATCGCCGTCCGTCACAAAGGCGCCGCAGCCCTCAGCTTCCAAAAGGTCACCGATATCTGCGTTCGTATTTCCCTGTTCTGGCCGACAACGTCTCATGGTGCCTTAGAACATACACCTCAGCCACATTCTACCGCACAGTTTCACATGAACCAGATTCAGTCGACAAAGGGACTCTCCGTTCCAGCGCACCCGCCGAGGGACTCACCGAACACCGAACACTCGTCCCCGAACAGCCCACACCACATCGCTCACGTACTGTCCTGTCGCACAGGGCCGCGTCCTCGGCGCCTTCCGTCCCCACCGCGCAACAAAGGCGTCACGTGCCGTCTCCGGCGCTGGGAGCGTCCGGGGGGGGGGGGGGGGCACGGTTCGCGCCGCCGCCCACCTGCTCGTCGTCCGCGTCGCCGCGGCCGTCAATCGCTCCACCGACGCGCCGACCGACCGGCTCTCCGCCAGCTGCGTCTGCCGCGACCTACCAGCTGTCGGAGGCCGCGCCTGCGCTGCGGCGGCGGCGACGTCGCGGCCAGGAATAACCGCGCGCGGCGCCGGCACCGCGGGCCGCGGGTAGAGCGACGCCGGCCGGAGAGAGTCGGCCGGCCCGAGCAGAGCTGCGCACGGACCGGCGGCGCACCCGCCCGTCGCGGCTGCTGGCCGGTCGCAGCGGCCGCTCCAGCACCCGGTTACGGTCAGCTACCACGCCGATCGGTCCGGATCTCAGGTATGCGGCTCTACCGGGGCCAGCTGGTCACCCCGACAGCTTCGGAGGAATGTCGCCGCAGCGTGCCCCGCCCATGCTGCAGCCTGCAGGCGTCCAAGCCGAGACAGCCACCGCCAGCGCGCCTCAAACTGGCCATCTACGGCAACGCTGCCGCGGAAGCGCCAACGAAGTACAAAGAAGGGCACAAACCTCCCCACCACAAATAAACAACCGGCTATCGAAAGCAAATCTACATTACGTCCGCCATCACAGGTCGTCCAAATGTGAAGCATCCCTCCCAGTCACAGTCGGGCCGCACTCCACAAGCCTGGCCGAGCTGTCCAACCGGCGCCGGTTTCACCCCGGCGCCGGTTTCTCGCGGTTTCCCCGGTCCGTCGGGCGGCGACGGCGATGGCGACGGCGGCAGTGGCGGCGGTGGCGGGAGGGGGCCGGGGGCCAGCCCTGGCGTTCTCACTTCGGCGCACAGGTGCGCCCGGGCCGCACACACCTCTACCCACGCGCCCCAAATCAATATAGCCGATTCGGGGAGAATTTCACAAGGCGCCAATCGTCATTCATTCGTCGCCAACAAAAGACGATTGGTTGTTTGCGAGGGTCGCGCTTGCAGTGCCGCGTGCGACGATCGGCCGGCACTCCTGCTGACGGAGCGCACTCTGCCGCCGCACTCCGCCGCGACTCCGCACTCACCGCGCACTCCCAGCGTAAACAGCTACCGGCACTGCAACGGTGCGAGCACTCTCGCCCATTTGCGCCGAAGATGCCTCGAAACTTTCCGCCGCCGCCGCGGCAGAGCAGCGGAGGGTTTCCGTTCCTGGTCTCTCGGCCGTCGACAAACTTCGCGGCCTGCGAGCCGGATAATCGCCGCCCTCCGGAGCGGATAGCAGAGCTTTGTGCCCGCCCGAGCATCGCCAGCTCTGTTCCCAGCCATACGTCGAGCCGCCAAGAGAGAGGTCTTCACTCGTCTCGGAGGGCGGCAGCCAGCGACCGGCCGGGCGGCGGAAGTCTGGCGACCCGTGGAGATGGTCTGATGTTTTCTACTCGCTCAGCCACCAACTACGGTGGGACCTCAGCGGAGCCACGCTACTTCTCCGGCAACACGACGGTTTTTGGGCGCACCAACGCGCACACCGAAAAACGCGTTATCAGTGGGGCCACGGCCGGCTTTAAATCCGCCGTATGACGTCACGGAAGGCAAAGGTCACGCGAATCACCTTGGTGAACCTGATACCAGCGGGCCCCTGCTCGGTACGACCCTTCTGTACCGCGGCCGCCAGCATCGCGTGCGTCCGGTGTGTGACACGTTAGCGCCGAGGACGTCAGAACGACAGAGGTCTGCGACGAACGCCGTCCCTGCGGAACGCCTCGCATTTGTTTTGGCCCGACCTTTCGGCAGCGCGTCCGCGAGCTCAAGGCCCCTCAGCACACAGAGTACTAAACAAACGCTTCTAGCCAACTCTGCATGCAGATCAAACGGACCCTCCTGGCTGACGCAATAAAGCCGATATGATCGCCCAAAATATTCGGCAGACATTTAAGAACTGGACATTAACGAGCATGAAACACCGACCATGCTACTGCACTACATAGCAACTTAGTGAAATGATTATCTAGACACAAGGTAAACACAAACCACTGAAGTTTAATAAATATAAATAATATTTCGCCCGCGTCGGGGAAGGCGTAATGGCACCCCATTACTCTGTCTGCTCATCAATAAACCAGTTTACTACTTCGGGAGGGTCCATCACCAGTTCCGAGCGGAAATAAGTGCTTGGGCACCCGCAAACAGGTTATGGACAACTGAACAGCGCAATGGTATGGTTGCGCGCTTTTCACACGCGTCATGAAGCCATTAAACAAAACAGAGTTGTAAAGCAAATATCAGGACTACGGTGGAAATGGTGCACCGAAAGCAGGCACTGTGGACAATAAGTACCCGCAGGTAATGCTTACATAAAGGCCGTGACAAAAAGTCACAGCCACAAAATAGCGAAGCGCGGACCCATTGGCTTGCCTGGATTTGAGTGGACGTTTGGACATATTTCGCGGACTTTGTAGCGTTGTGCTCACGAATCCAGACGGTTCACTCCTCACCTTCTGGAGTGGCAATTACGCAATCGCTTCCGTGGTTGCGGAAGAGGGCATTTACAATTGCAGACTTCTAAAAAGAGCGCCTTCGATAACGGCTTCACACACTTAAGACTGGGTCTTTCCAGCGACACACCCCTGCCAGGAGATAGATGATGGAAACGTTTATCTGCCCATGAGTTACATACATTACATGAGAGTCACCTAAAATCACGCCAAATTTGCATATGAACAGGGAAGCCGTGTACCGAGAAGACGTAAGGAAACTGTGTTACGGCGAAGCTGACTTAAGTGATGACTTAAAGGCGCACGATAACGTTAATTTCTGAGCTAGAGGCTACATGCAATATCTAAGATTTAATGACTAATTACAAGCGGGTGGTGGGAGCACGGACAAGTTTATCAGAAGTCTCGATTTTCTGAATTTCATGCCTACAGCACGCGCTTAGCCATGTCAAAAATCCCTCCTAGGTCTCGATACATATTCAGTGCTGATGCCCTTCCCTCATTTGAAGGGATGGTAGTTGCTTCACCTTCGCCGCTATAACCCACTGGAAAACATGTCACAAAATAAGGTGAGCTGCAATTTTGAAAACTTAGTACGCGCCCGGGTGGCCGGTTGGATACCCTTCGCTCAGGTGGGGGGGGGGGGGGGGGGGGAGGAGGGCAATTGGCCCGCTGATATTTCAGGAACTAAGAGAGCTAGACACCAAAGTCACAGGGTGTGTTGACCTGTCCGCGAACTCACTTAGGTCAGATTTGGAGGCTCCTAGGTCATAACCTTCGGGTCAAATAACGTCAAAAAGGTCAAATTCCAGGTTGGTCTCCAAAGGGCCCCTAGAGCCTAAATAACTGTTCTGAGCAAAACGTCACACGATCATCTTAGGCCAGTGCCCTAGTTTGGCCTTTTGAGGGTCATGGTGACCAAAAATATACAAGACCGCTGTGAGTTTTGCACTTAGATAAGCGATAAAGATTACGCTACGCACAATGTTCCTAAAAAAAAAATGTTGACGTGGGTTATTCCGGGTCAGTGATCTATTCTGACCTTTAAGAAGTCTATGGAAGGTATATAATGCGGTTGCTGTTATCAATTAATTCGAAATGAGCATCAGGAACTACCCATACAGCAAGCGCTAGAGTAATAAAACATGTTGGTTTTGGCCTTGGTCTGACCTTCATACCCAATCCCAGGTCAATGTAATTTGTTTATTCAGTTGTTGTGTTGCCTAGAGAAGCATCTCAGAGTTATATGGTTTCGTCCAACACTCCGTTGTTGGATCAGATTGAACGATTCCCTAGAAATTGCCTTCGCTGAAACCATGGCCTGACTTTGACCTGCCATAGCTCAGCGACCTTACAAGGTACATCTAATCTTTCATGCCAGACAATCCGTTATTCAATTTTCTACAGCTATGCAAAATTTGGTGCGGCTATGCCGCGCCGTTCGGAAACTATTTCGGAAAACATTCGGGGGGGGGGCAATTTGACCCCCATCCAAGAGCGTGCCAGAGTATACATATCCGCATACTACATCACGTGTTCATCATCAAACACACAATGGCCTGATAACGACACCTCAGCTCTTCGTGACGATAGCTCAGCTAGGTGGAGCGTCTGTCAGACTCACCCACCTGTGGCGCGTTGCGTTAGAGCCGACGCAGATGT